AGAGAGAGAGAGAGAGAAAGAGAGAGAGAGAGAGAGAGAGAGAAGAAAGAAAGAAAGAAAGAAAGAAAGAAAGAAAGAAAGAAGAAGAAGAAAGAAAGAAAGAAAGAAAGATGAACTAATATTTCTTAAAATATATGTATAGTCCAGCCAGCATGGCTCAGCGGTTGAGCGTCAACCTATGAACCAGGAGGTCACGGTTCAATTCCCGGTCCGGGCACATGCCTGGGTTGCAGGCTTCATCCCAATGTGGGGCGTGCAGGAGGCAGCGGATCAATGATTCTCTCTCATCATAGATGCTACTCTTGCTCTCTCCCTCTCCCTTCCTCTCTGAAATCAATACAAATATTAAGATATATATATATATATATATATATATATATATATATATATATGAACTAATCTATAATTTCTGCTGTGATTTTTTTTTCAACCCAGAAAAATTCAAAGGACACATTTTCATTTTAAGAAAAATTTATTTTCTTTTTAAGTTTTGAAAGACTAAGTTGATTTGTTGATTGAGTGTGTATTTATTTTTCAGGTTATTTATTACATTTATTCACCTCTATTTGATATTCATTTTTTCCTTTTTTTTCTTGATAGGTTGTTGACTAAAGGTCAGAATGCATTGGTTGAACTACAAACACAAAGACCAGTGGCTCTTGAGCTATACAAAGACTTTAAGGAACTGGGGAGATTCATGTTACGCTACAGTGGTTCTACAGTAGCTGCTGGTGTAGTCACTGAGGTATTGTAAAGTGACCGGTTGTGTGTCCATGGTTATGATGTCTTTTTCTACTTTTTAAGGGTGATTAATAAGCTTTTATGGCTTAAGAGAAACACAGTTATGGTATTATAAAAAATTTTAAAATTCATATTAAAATTTTTTTTAAAATGGGAAGAAATGTTTGGTCTTGGAATTTCCTACAGTGAGACTTCCAAACTGTCCTCCATCAGTAACATTGCTCAAAATTAAAGGAAATCCATTGAAAAGTCTGTGAGTATGCAATCCAAATGATGAGAATACAGATTTTGAAAGTCAAATAAGTTGGGGGCAGTAATTTCATTAATGGAAGAGTCCACATTAACATTTTTTCTTCATATGACTGGCTTTCAGGACATTTGAAATGATTCATTCAAAAAGTTCAGTTACCATATTAGTAATGTTTCTGAAGCAAACCTGTTATATAATGTGAGGTGCAGCTGAGTTATGGAGAAAATAGCCAGAAATGAACCAGAAAATTTCAGTAACTTAAATTTTCTTCTACACTATCATGATCAATATAAGTCTTATGAATATTGTATTTTAAGGGGGGGGATTTACTCATTTATATAATTATTTTCTGCATGAAACTTATTCAAGTCATTTAATTGTATGTATACTTTGAACAGAGGGCTTTAGGTTGTATCAAAATCCAGTTACACGTGTGTCATGTAAAAGACTCTGGAGTTAAACTGCCCAAGTGTCTGTTGCTGTTCCGCTGATTCCTAGCAGCATAAGCACAACATTTCTCCCTGGATTTATTCTTCTATAAAAATGGGTAATGGGCTCTGCCTCCCAGAGCTGTGGACGTGAAATGAAATGATTAGTGGAAAGACTCGGCACAGTAATTGACACACATAAAGCATTCCATAAATGCTATCTCATGTCCTTGTCATCAACATCGCTTCTAATCTGCCAAAGCACTCTTTATAAAAGCATAAAAGCGCTGTCTAAAAATAAGATCCAGTCCCTTGTGGGAAATAATGGAGTGATTATAGTTAATCTCAGAAATAGCATGACTAGGGAAGGGAATAGTGGCAGGAAAAAGAAAAAAGATTCATCTTGATAAAATGATTTCACTGTCATTTGCCTTTTGTTGTTTGTTCTTTTAATATGATTGATTGAATTTTAGCAAATATGTTTTTCTCCTTTACAGATAAAAGAATGATGGGTCAGAACTTCTCCAATGTTTCCAAATGCAAGGACATAACTGAGCTGTGTTTTTAAAGAATCCAGTTATTCAATTAAAGGAACAATGTGCAATTGGTATTTTTTTTTAAAAAGAGAGAAAATTAAAGCTATAATCAGCAGCAAAGAAGTATTGATTATCACTCCTGCAAAAATTTCAAGTTGCCAAACCAGCTTTCCCTTTGAAATGGATTTACTTTGCTAAGACTTACAGAAACTATCTGAAATACGTATTAAAAGGATTGAATCATCATGAAATGAACTCAACTTCCAGCCAAACTACCGAATGTTTACAGTTTTCTTTTGGTTTTCAACTCTACTGCATACATTTTGGAAAAAATAACTAAATTGGGTGGTTGAGGTAGTTAATATTTGACCAGTGCAAATTTTTGTTGTTGTTAACTCTAAGGAAAGATTTACTGAAGGTTATAATCTTAAAGGTATTTTGTGTTAAGCATAAGAATATTCTTCCTCCAACAAGTAAACTTTTGAAAGATTAGGTTGGAATTAGTGGAAACTCTTCCTTTGTTATCCAAACTATTATTTAAGGTGTAAAGCCAACTAATAAAATGTCTTAGTTTGAGCATAACAGCAAAATGTCTTTTGTTTCTTAAATGTATATGAGATTCTTTACCACTATCACTAAATATGACTTTGGGGTTTTATGGGATCTTTTTTTCTTTTCCTTTTGAAATGAGGGGCTGAGGGCCATTTTCAGGCCGGTCAAGCCCCCCAGTGGGGACCCTCATCCTATGGGGGTGTGGCCAGCCTGGGTGAGGGGCTGAGGGCTGTTTTCAGGCTGGCCACACCCCTTCAGGGTGGGGGTCCCCACTGGGGTGCCTGGCCAGCCTGGGTGAGGGGCTGAGGGCCGTTTTCAAGCTGCCCACAGCCCCTTCAGGGAGGGAGGGGGTCCCACTGGGGTGCCTGGCCAGCCTGGATGAGGGGCTGATGGCCGTTTTCAGGCTGGTGCGCCCCCCTCCCCCAGCAACCCAAGCTCCCAGCCTCTCCTTGAGTGGAGGCCACAGCCGGCTGGAAGCAGGTATCTGGGATTTATTTATCTTCTATAATTGAAACTTTGTAGCCTTGAGCGGAGCCGAGGGCCAACCAGGGCAGGCAGGAAGCTTGGCTTCCTCCATTGCCAGGGGCAACCCAAGCCTCCTGCTCGCTCCAGCTCCATGGCTGCTGCCATCTTAGTTGGGTTAATTTGCATGCTCGCTCCTGATTGGCTTGTGGGCGTGGCTTGAGCTTAGCGGAGGGACAGTTTATTTGCATGTTTCTCCTTTATTATATAGAATCATGTTTAGCAGGAATATAACAGCTGTACCTGACAGAAACCTAATTTCAAGTGACTGAAGCAAAAAAGAAAGTACCATTAGCCCTGGCTTTTACTCAGTCTTGATGGAGCAGCTCACGATGTCAGCGAAAACTCATGCTTTCTCTAGTGTTGGTTTGCTCTCAGACTCCATACAGACCCCCTGGGATTCTACATTTAGACCCTCAGACCCTCATCCAGGGCAAGGGTAGGCTAAGAGAACATGTCTTTTTCCAGAAGCCCTAGAAACATGCCATCATTGACTATAACTGAATTTCATTATTTCCTTGGGGGCAATCTTGGGGTTGGATGTGAAATGAATACCACTCAAAATACATAGGCTTACTTGCTGCAGCAACAGAGACCACACACCTTGGTGCTTCTTAGTAAGAAGGTGTTGGGGGCGGGGGAGAGCTTAAAGAATCTGAGCGTATTTAGGTAATTTTGAGGAGGGCTCGAGTGAGCAAGGGTTTCTTCTTGATTAGGTGCTGTCAGAAAGTGGGAGGAATTTTGCAATTGGGTATTGATTTTTATTTAGCACAGAGAAATGGAATAAGGTAAAGCAGCAGCAGTTGCACAGGTTAGCCACAAGAGGGGGTTGCCCAGGCATTTTTGTGGTTTGCACAGTGACTGTTGGTCATTCTCACTTCATCAAGTTCACAGTGACCTCATCTGACATAGGAGATCTGGGAGCTGTTCATGTTCAGCAGGAGAACACCGTGGCCTCGCTGCAAGTGCCAGGCCAGCTTTTAGTTCCCAGATGCTCCTTTTTCTCTCTCACATTGAAAGCCCTGAAATATGCAGTAAATTAAGAGTATAAAACAAAATAATGAAATGAATCAATGAAATTATACCTCAAATATGGGGACTTAAAGTAGTGGAAGAGTAAGCATTATGTTTAGATTTTCTCTTAAAAGGATAGATTCACACTGCAAAGCTACTGATATGCTATTTACCAAAGATACGCCTAAAATAAAATAAGAGATTGCAAGAAAAAAAGGCACAAATGTATCAGAGAAGTAAAAGTTACTACCATGGGGTGGGTGTCTACCATGTGCCAGGCAATTTTCACACAGTAGTTCAGTTAATATGACATTTTTGTAATTACTATATGGGACAGGCATTATTAACCTCAATCTTTAGATAAGAAGACTAAAGTTGAATAAAAACAAATCAATTACAGAGCCATGATTTGAATTTGTATTGAAGCCTGACTGGAAGTCATGTCCATTACACTGCATTGTCTCTCTACAAACCAGGAATAACATTAATACTGGACTAAGAATTTAAAGGAAGCAAACAAACAAAAAGCCTTAACTGTGATAAAGAAAACCATTTCATACCGATAAGAGGCACAACCACGGGTACAAAAATGAAACAAGTACCAAATAGCATCAAAATGCATAATGGAAATTTACTAGGAATAAAAAAATTAAAAGATATAAATAAAATTATCAAGGGATTCTCAACAGCCCTGCTTCATAGATCATGGAAACAAAAGGTCACAAAGGACTTGAGTAACATAATAAAGTAGAAAGATTGAGCATATATTCAAAAAGAATGCAATTATAAGTCAGGTTTCCTTCAAGAATTTGATAATGAAGTAAATACTACTCTTGGAGAGTTATACTTTCAGGGCAACTCAATGGCTCAGACCATAGGTGTGGAGTTATCTTTCAGCTTTAGGATGTCTTAAATAGGTTAAGCTCCCTTTCCTGTATTACAGATACTGTATTATATAAAGTGGAATCAGAGTATAGCCTTAAATATTATCAACATATATTAAATAAATTAAACATTTAACTAAACAAAACCTAGAAAAGACACAAAACAACTATCCTCCTGGAGGGTGTGTGTGTGTGTGTGTGTGTGTGTGTCCAGAGCTTATTTTTTTCCTGTTGGGTTGTTCATTTCTCTTACCATTTTGTAGAAATTGTTACAGACACCATGGATAGGAATTTCTTTTAATGTTTTTATTTTATTTTATTTTATTTTATTATTATTTAAAGTATTACAAATAATAGAACATATGTCTCCTTTTTCCCCTATTGACTTCCCCCTGGCCTTGCCCCCCTAGTGTCTGTACCTATTGGTTATGCTTATATGCATACATACAAGTCATTTGGTTGATCTCTTACCCACCCCCACCCTCCACCCCTCCCCTACCTGCTCAAAGTCAGTAATCATCCGAAAGATGCAAATCAAAACGACAGTGAGGTACCATCTCACACCTGTCAGAATGGCTATCATCAACAAACAACAAGTGCTGGTGAGGATGTGGAGAAAAGGGAACCCTCTTGCACTGCTGGTGGGAATGCAGACTGATGCAGCCATTGTGAAAAAAACAGTATGGCATTTCCTCAAAAAACTAAAAATGGAGCTCCCATTTGACCCAGTGATCCCACTTCTAGGAATATATCCCAAGAAAACAGAAACACCAATCAGAAAGGATATATGCACCCCTATGTTCATAGCAGCAGAATTCACCATAGCTAAGATTTGGAAACAGCCTAAGTGCCCATCAGCAGATGAGTGGATTAGAAAACTGTGCTACATCTACACAATGGAATACTATGCTGCTGTAAAAAAGAAGGAATTGTTACCATTTGCAACAGCATGGAAGTACCTGGGGAGCATTATGCTAAGTGAAATAAGTCAGTCAGAGAAAGATAAACATCACATGATCTCATTTGTGGAATATAATGAACATCATAAACTGATGAACAAAAATAGATAAAAAGACAAAGAAACATTGAACAGGAATTTCTTGTATGTTATATGTACATCTCAGACAGAGTTTAGGTTTGTATCTTCATCTCTATGGCCACCTGGAAAATGGGCACTGCCTCTGCAGCCCTGGTGTCCGGATGGAGAGGAAGTGTAGAGAGAAGGCATCCAGGGTACAGAAGCCAGCCCATGAGCAATGGAAAAGAAAGAGAGTCTGTCCTTTTCTTTTTTTTTTTTTTTTTGATAGGTATTTTTTTTTATTATTTATTTTACTTTATTTTTCTCTCACCATTTATCCCCTTTATGCCCTCTTCCACCCCACCCCCACAATTACCTCACTGTGGTCCATGTCCATGAGTTCTTTTTTTTCCTTTTTTTTTCAGTCCCTCCATGCCTCCTGCCCCCTCTGCCCTACCCCCCATTCTTACCAGAGATGTCTGCCTGCTCTCAGTCACCTCTGCAGGGTGAGTGAGGGAGGAGATGTAGTGAGGAAACAGCCCATGGTTTAGTGACAAAAAGATTAAAGTTCATTCTTGACCAACTTTGTATTCAGTCTTGGACACATTAACCTCTATGAAACTCAGTTTCTTCTACAAAGTTGGGGAGGTAATGACATTCACTTTATAGAAGGTTGCTGTGTGGAATAAATGAGTAAGTTCCTGTGAAGGCCTTGCATCAGGGCCTAGCACTCCGTCAACGTTTGAGCCATGTGTAGCTTATAGTGTGAGCCCAATGCTATGATACACACAGACGCCTTTTGAGGATTCTAAAGGACCATGAACACATAAGCTGATATTAGTTTAACATTGTTATCCACTTCTCACCATGTACTGGAAGTCTGTGAAGTATTTGATAACTCCCTTCACTCAGAGTCTGGAGACTGGAATACTGTCTGAGAGCGGCCGGTCACCTCCCCTTTCCCTGATTGGCAGATGAAGACCTGGCTGGAAGGGCGGTGGGGGGGGGGGGGGCTTGGAGGATGAGCCGGAGGATGGGCCGGACAGGAGGAGGAGACTAGCTCAGCAGTGAGGGAAAGCGGTGGGGTAACCTGGCTGAACAACTGTCAAGGGGAAAGGCAGCAGTTTTCTTACTATGGCTGGAACAAAGACACTTCTGGTGCTGGAAAACTTCATAGGCGGAAAATTCTTACCTTGTAACTCATATCTAGATTCTTATGATCCATCCACCGGAGAGGTGTACTGCAGGGTGCCAGACAGTGGAAAAGAAGAGGTGAGTGTGTTCACTTAGGAAAGACTGAAATGGTCTGAACAGGTCGGTGAATTATGTGTAAATTCATTTCTAGAAGCAAAAGGCTGAAATGATCTTAATTATGTTGGTGAATTATGTATAACTTCACTTTCTAGAAGTAAAAGACTGAAATGGTCTTAATATGTCAGTGAATTATGTGTAACTGATTTTCTAGAAGCAAAGGGTGTGGGGTGGGGTGTGGGGGGGTGGGAAAAGGTTAAACTTTAGCAGAAGGCAGACTTTAGTTCTAGAAAGATTTACTTTGTAACTGGACATGTATGGTACATGGAGCAAATCTCAGGTT